TTAACAACTCTGAGCTATTAGTTAAGTTCTCCCCAAGCGAGCTCGATGGGCCGAATGGCCTCCTCTCGTTTGTATAGTTCTTATGTTCTTATGATAGGTAAGTCCTCCTCTGAGTTGTCCAGCTCTACTTCCTCCAAGGAAGGCGTGTCTGTGACATTCAGAAGGTCCTCAAACTACTCCTTCCACCACCTGACTATATCCCCATTTGAGGTCAACAGTGCTCCATCCCTGCTGTAAACAGGATGGGTAAGGCCATGCTTCACCCTCACCTCAGCCAACCATTTGCCAAAATGTTTCTAAGGCAAACCAAAAGTCATTTTCCATGGCCTCACCAAACTAAATCCCATATCCAAGTCTTTTCTTCAGCAGCTGCTAAAGTTGCATTCTACTGTACTTAGCCTGCTTGTACCTAGCTTCAGGAGATCCACTAGCTAACCAAGCTCAGAAGACCTCCTTCTTTAGCTTAATCATTTTGCTGATGTCCATCATCTGGTTCAAGAATTGCCACTGCGACAGGCAGTAGCAACCTTACAGCCACAGCTCTGCACAGCTGCCTCAGCAATGGAGGCCCAGAACATGGTCCATTTGGGCTCAATTTCTCCAGCCTCTCTTAGGATGCAAGAGAAGTTCTGCCAGAGGTGTGAATTGAAGATCTTCCAGACAGGGGCCTCTGACAGATGCTCCCAACACACCGTCACTATGTATTTGAGTGTACCAGGTCTATCCAGCATTCACTCTAACCCTTGAATCCAACTCGCCACCAGATGGTAATTATTTGACAGCTCAGCTCCTCTTTTCACCTGCGTGTCCAAAACATGCAACCACAGATCCGACGATATGATTACAAAATCGATCATCAAATTGAGGCCTAGGGTACTCTGGCATTAAGTGCACTTCTGAATACCATCATGCTTGAAAATTATTTTTATTATGAACAAACTGTGGTTACCACAAAAGTCCAATAATAGAGCACCGTTCAGGTTCAGATTGGACAGGCTGTTCCTCCCAATCACACCCGTCCAAGTTTCACTGCCATTACCCACATGAACATAAATGTTCCCCAGTAGAACAATGGAGTCCCAAGTGGGGTTGGGCATTGTTTGAATATTATTTATTACAATTCTGGTTCTGCTTATCAGTTCTGGTTCTTATTAATTCCCCTTTTCAATTCCATGAAGGTAAAAAACAGTGTTAATTTTGTAAATGGAAATTTTGATTATAAGTATTCATTGACGATGTATTTTATGGCTAAAATGAAAAATTGTTTCACAAAGAAAATTAGAAAGAAGAAGAGAATCCCTCTTCGTTATGCTTTGCTGAGTATGACGAGACAAAATTGCTAGCTCTGTTTGAGCAAACAACTTAGATCACCGTCTGAGTCATTTCCAAGTATTGGTTGTTATTCTTTTTATCCAATCATTTACATACGCATACATTTCCAAGAGTTCTCACTGTCTCCATGCATCTTTCTCATTGGATGACTTGTTTTTCCCGCCTAGTGCATGTCTGCGCAAATGCCAGCTTCCAGTATAACTAATTCACACTACATGATTTAAGTCCCAATTTTCCATTCTCCAATAATTTTTGGAAACTGCCAACAAAAGCCCCAGATTGGAGGCAAATCAGTGTTCGATCGGTGCTGGTAAATTGCCGCTTGATTGCTATGTATGAACTGCTTGCAATGCAACCCAACAGATGTGTAGCAGATGCCCATCAGATATCAGGCAGGCAAAATATATGAGCCTGTTGGTGACACCAAATCCTGTAAGTGTGAAAGGTGATGAGTGTGACGACGAGCCACAGCCAATGAGAGTGCAAGACATGAAGTGAGGTGAAACCCAAAGCCAAGGGAAGAATTTAAAAAGGTGTAGAAAGTTTAGTTTCGTTAGGGACTGTTCTTAGTGTTCAGCGCACACACACACACACACTCACACGTGTGAAAGGGTCATCTTGGAGAGAAGTGCCTTACTGAAACTAAACTGAGATAAGTAAACTGTATCTAGTAAATAGAAGGAAAGACACATAAGCTTTTTTGTCCTTTCAGGAATTCTTGTTCTTGAAGAAAGATTATTGCTTATTTAGACTGTTCATGATCTATCTTTCACACTATTGTCACGTATGTTCAATTGTGTCTAAGCAAATGGCTGTTGCGCGTTGACATATTCATATAAAACAGGTCTTGCCATATAGCCATACCGGTCTTTACAGATATGTATGGTTTAGGAACCGATAAGCAGAACCGAAATTAAAAACAAAAAACTGGGTACCCAGTATCGGGTGTTTTCTTATCAGTTCTAATTTGGAACCTACTTTTGGTTCCCAACCCTAGTCCCCAGAGGAGGCGCCATCCAGCAGCCCATCCAAGGTCTCCAGGATCATATACTCTGAACTGGTGTTCATTGCATAAGCAAAGACAACAGGGGACTTGAGGTTGAAGGGAGGTGACTCTCTCGTTCACCAGGATTAACTCCAAGTTATTGGTGCCAAACTGGGGGGCTATGAGTAGACCCACCCCTGCCCGATGCCTCTCACTAAGGATAACTCCAGAGTGGAATAGAGTCCAGCCCCTCTCCAGGAGTTTGGTTCCAGAGCCCAAGCCATGTACTCAGGAGAGCCCAACTATACCTAGATGGTATCTGTATACCTCTTGCACTAGCTCAGACTCAATTCTCACCAGTGATGTAACATTCCATGTTGTTAGATTCAGATTTGTTAGCTGACAATAGGTCCATTGAGGCCAGCAAGAAATGAAATGCAGGTGGGCCAGAATAAAACTGAGTGGGCCACACAATCCAATATTGCTCAATAGCACTTACAACATGTTATAAATGCTACAGTAAGTGTTCTGCTATGTGCAGGCCTGCTGTGTCATCATACTGACATCCCTTAACTGTCATGAAAATCAAACCAGCTCTGTTCACTTACAGCAACAAGACACTTAATCTGAGCATCCAAGAACATAAGAAATTTACAAACAAGAGGAGGCCATTCGGCCCATCAAGCTCATTTGGGGAGAACTTAACTAATAGCTCAGAGTTGTTAAAATCATATCTAGTTCTGATTTAAAGGAACCCAGGGTTTTAGCTTGCGCTACACTAGCTGGAAGACTATTCCATACACTAACTATACGCTGTGTAAAGAAGTGCTTTCTCAAATTCATTTTAAAATGTTCTCCCGCTAATTTCCACTTATGGCCACAAGTTGTAGTACAGATTTTTTTTTATTTCTTATCATTATTCCATAAATAATACAGTATAACAACTATTTGCATTGCATTTATTTTGTATTATAAATCATTATAAGTACTCTAGAGATGATCTGTCATATATGGGAGGATGTGCGTAGGTCATATGCAAATACTACGGCATTTTATATAAGGGACTGGAGAATCCATGGATTGTGATATCCGTGGGTGGTCCTGGATTCACTTGATTTGATTTGATTTGATTTTATTTGATTTGATTTGATACGATGCGGATAGCCAACTGTATACACCTTTCTTGGTAAGAAGAGCAACTTGTAGAGTACAAGTAACCATCAACTGTAATAACCATAGAAAAACTAAGAATAAATAGGTTTTCTGTTTATTTAATGGCTTCCAGAAGATGTACCATCCAAAATTCTCCATTACACTGAATTCTGAAGTAAGGGGAATGACATTGTAATCCCGAAAAGTCTTGCGAGTGCAGGTCCACATCTGCCTCGTTAATTAAGCACCTGATGAAATCTCATTCTGCAGCTCAGGTACTCACTTTATTACATGTACAACAAAAGACTGGGGGAGAGAAGAAGCTTGACAATTTACAGCAGAAGAATCGGGAGTTCCTGTGCACTGGAAAGATATGAAGGGAGCCGTGTCCTTACGGAGCTACATCGGTGACGATAACGTGAAAGAGAAACACATACATCCCAAGTGATAGGCAGGAAGAGCAGAAAGGGATGGAATCAGTGGCAAGACCAATGACACAGGCGGTTAAGAGAAAACAAAACCATCATATGCAACTATTAAACAAACACGCACACATTGATAACAGAAGAACACAAAACTGCTTTCTGGGGCCAGCAGAATTAACCTGAAGAGGAAGATAAAAGGAGAAAGGGATGAATATCATTCGGACAGATTAGCAACACAGTTTAAACCTTACGTAAAGACATCATCCATTGAAGAGCAAACAGGACTACTGACATCTCCCAGAGAGTTTATATGATTAAACTGACCTACTGACATCTATCTGAATATTTATATGATTATTTATCTACTTGGGACTTTTATGTCCCTCTATGTTGTCAGCTGGCTTTCTTTCTTTCTTTCTTTCTTTTCATTGTCCTCCATTTTCCCTGTTTTTGTATTATTCTGTCTAAATTAAGCTGTAATGTCCTTGTAAAGCACCTTAAGGTAACTTAAGGCACTATGTAAAAATAAATTGACTTGAAAGTGACTAATTTGAACTACTGACATCTACAAGAGGGTTCAAATGACAAAACAGAATTACAGACATATACCAGACACGGATTACATATGATTACACACTGTAGTCACAAATTAGTCCAGTAAATGAGTGTTTTTTCATGTTTTCTTACCTTGGTATCCATTGCTGAAAAACCTATTTAATCCATATTTGTTTTCCTTTCCACCTAAACAAAGAAAAAAATTGTAAAGGTCAATTATTTTAATAATATTTAATAGGTGTACATATTTCTGTGATAAACAGTTAATATTCAGCCAAATAAAGAAAAAGTAAAACAAATAATTAAAAATAAAATTTCCAGGATGGTCTATTGTGAACCTAACTGATTTCTTTGGTTTCTACTTTAAAATCCAGCTAAGCAGAACGGTGAATGTGCAATTCATGAATCAAACTGAAAAGACAATCAAAAGAAAAATTTCAACCAACAATAACGACAAAACAGATTTCAAATTTAATTGTAAATCTCCATGCACTTATGATTAAATCCCCTGAAATTATAGTCAACTTCAATTACATCATATACATAAAGGCCTACTCCTGATACAAGCTCAGGCCTACTCTATACACAAACACAGGCCTACTCCAGATACAAATTCAGGCCTACCCCAAATTCAAGCTCAGACCAACTCCACATACAGCCTCAGCCCTACTCCAAATACAAGGTTAGGCCTATTCCATATACAAAATTATGTTTAAGGGTACTTTGAGGAATAACCATCCAAAACGCATCATCTTTGGCCTAAACAAAAATAATGAATGGGTTTATCTCTGACAACAGGCACAATTTTTTGCCCATGGTCAATTTTGACAAGTACATCTTGCAGACCTGCGCCACAAAATCAGCAGCATCGGGGTTTGTTTGTTGAAAAGAAAATTTAAAACGTACAAATGATTCTTCACCAGGAAAGCTCTCCTACACTCTATGACTTTTCTTTAACCGTATCCACCTAACTCTTCTTTTCTTTTGATTTCTAATGTTCAGTATATTTAACATATAATGTAACAGTATATAATGTTCAGTACCATTCCTGATATCTAATATTGAAGTAGCCATTTGGCTGAACAGCATCCAGACCTGTTAGAATCTTATAGACCTGGATCATGTCCCCCCTTAGTTTCCTTTGTGCGAGGCTAAACAGATTCAGCTCAGCTAACCTCTCCTCATAAGACACTCCTCTAAGACCAGGAATCATTCTTGTAGCCCTACATTGAACCCTTTCCAAGGCAGCAATGTCCTTATTAAGGTATGGTGACCAAACCTGCTTACAATATACTAGGTGGGGTCTTACCAAGGAATTGTATAATCGTAACATCACCTCCTTTGACTGAAACTCCACACGCCTAGAGATGTAACCCAACATCCTATTGGCCTTTTTTTATTGTTTCCCCACACCGGCGAGAGTGGGACATGGAAGCATCAACATACACACTGAGGTCACTCTCACAATCAGCTACCTTTATTTCAGTGGAACCCAAAAAATACCTGTACTTTATATTTCTGCTTCCTGCATGGATTACCTTACATTTATCTGTGTTAAATTTCATCTGCCAAGTATCAGCCAAGTTGCTAATTAAATGAAGATCCTGTTGTAGCCTCTGTGCTGCTAGATCAGTATCTGCTACACCACCCACCTTGGTGTCGTCTGCAAATTTAAATTTACTGTATATATTGGTGTCAATATCATAGATAGATAGATAGATAGATAGATAGATAGATAGA